TTAGGAGCTCTCTAGAAGCGTGCCCTAAGACCAAGGTGAGAGTTCACGAAAGAAATCTGCCTCACCTACTCGGCTGTTAAGACATGGTGAAAATTTCATGAAACATAATATTATGGATATGGAATAAGTACACAGCTCTGAACTGAAGTAAAATTTTAAATGGGATGCATTCCATGTATTGGGTAGAGCCTTTCCCGTCAAGTGCTCCAAGCGGTACGCTCCATTTTGTAAGCTTTCCACCACTCTGAAGGGGCCTTCCCAATTCGCGGCCAACTTTCCCGCCGATCGGTTTCGTCGGGCCTCAGCCGTTTTTCTCCACACAAGATCTCCTTCAACAAATTGTTGTGGCCTGACCTTGGTGTTGTAACGCCTCGCCAACAATCTCTTTTTAGCCTCCGCTCGAATCATTGTTATCTCTCTTCGTTCATCTATAGTATCTAGCTCCACACGCAACTTGTCATTATTATCCTGCAAACTTTGCACTTCCCTTCGTATGGTAGGTTCCCCTACTTCGACCGGCAACATCGCGTCCATTCCATATGTTAGGTTGAACGGGGTTTCCCCAGTTGTACCGTGCGACGTGCAGCGGTACCCCGACAGAACTTCCTGAAGTTGCTCCACCCAAACTCCTTTAGCATCCCCCAACCTTTTTTTCAACTCAGAGACGATTACCTTGTTGACCGCTTCCACTTGGCCGTTCGTTTGGGGATGCTCTACCGAGCTCGTGACATGCTTAATTCCCAGCTTTTTGTAGAATTCTCCTAATCCTTTATCAATGAACTGTCGCCCGTTATCCGTAACTATGACTTTGGGAATTCCAAATCTGCAGATGAGCGTCCATACAAACGTTTGAACCCTCGCGGCCGTGATCGTTGCGAGCGGTTCTGCCTCCACCCACTTAGTGAAATAATCAACTGCCACCAGTAGGAATTTTTTTTGCGCTCGGCCCATCGGGAAGGATCCAACAATATCTACTCCCCACTGCGCGAACGGCCACGGTGACATCAAACTGTGCAACTCGACTGGTGGAAGATTGAGATTCTTGCCATGTTCCTGGCATTTCAAACATTTTTGCACAAATTCTTTGCAGTCTCTTTCCACCGTCGGCCAGAAATAGCTCGCTCTTATGACCTTGGCACGCAAAGCTCGTTGCCCTATATGCATTCCACACACCCCTCGTGCAGCTCCCTCATCACATACTCAGCTTCCTCCGAAGATACACATTTCAATAAGGGTGAGGAGAAGCCTCTTTTATACAGATCCTCTCCTATCAACAAATACCGAGCGGCCTTCTTTGCCTCAGATGCTCGGATGTGCAAGCCATTCTCCTGCCTTTGAATGGCTTCTCTTATGGCCTTCCTCCAATCAGGTCGGTCGGAGACCTCGTGAATTGCCAGACACTCCACCGAAGGGTTCATCATAACCTGCCTTATGACCGACGACAAGTAATCCTTCCCTTTGCTGTTGGCGAGTTTAGATAGGATATTCGCCCTCGCGTTCTGCTCCCTTGACACATGCCTAAACTCCACCGCTCGGAATTGTTTTACCAACTCCTTCACCTTATGAAAATAGCGAAGCAGCTGATCATCTTTGGTCTGGAAGCTCTCAGTCAGCTGCCCTACCACCAATTGGGAATCCGTTCGGCATTTGACCGAGACTGCCCCCAAGTCCTTAGCCAGCTCGAGCCCAGCCAGTACTGCTTCGTACTCAGCCTGGTTATTACTTATCTTGAACCGAAAGACAATTGCCTGTTCCACAACAAAATCGTCCGGTCCTTCCAACACAATTCCTGCTCCACCACTGGCCTTCTCAAAAGAGCCATCCACATAGAGGATCCACTCTTGGTGACCTTCTTCTTCCCAAGGTAACTCGACCGCAAAGTCGGCCAAATGTTGCCCTCGGATTGACCCTCTCGGTTCAAACTGGAGTCCAAATTCAGAAACCTCCAAGGATCATCCTACAATTGTCCCGGCCAGATCTGGTTTGCGTAGGATTTTCGCGATCGGGTGATCTGTTCGAACTATCACCTGATGACTCTGGAAGTATGGCCTTAAGCGTCGCGCTGCTATCACAAGTGCCAAAGCGATCTTCTCGACTCGCTTGTATCTGGTTTCCGCTGGTTGCAAAGTTCGACTGACGAAGTACACGAGCTTGAACTCAGGTTGCTCTTGCACCAAAGCCGAGCTGACCGTGTCCTCCGAGATTGACAGGAAGAGTTGTAACGCATGCCCCGAATCGGGTCTTCCCATAAACGGTGGGCTGACCAGTATGCGTTTAACTTCGTTAAAAGCTTCCTCACACTGGTCGTCCCAATCAGCACCCGTACTCTTCTTCATGATTCTCACTATCGGCTTTATCTGCTCGGCTAACTTTGGAATAAAGCGGGATAATGAAGTTAGTCTCCCCACCAGCCTCTGAACCTCCTTCAGCTTCTGCGGACTTCTCATCTCCAGTATTTTTTTGCACTTGTCGGGGTTCACCTCGATACCTCTAGTTGTCAGCAGGAATCCCAGAAATTTTCCCCCCGGCACCCCGAAAGTACACTTCATCGGATTAAGGCGCATGTTATATTTGCGAACCTGGTGGAACACTTCCGCAAGATCTCTCACATGGTCTTCAACCGAGCGGCTCCTCACCACCATATCATCTACATACACCTCCATGCACCTGCCAATCTGGTCAGCAAAAACCCTATCCATCAGCCTTTGGTAAGTAGCCCCCGCATTCTTCAGCCCGAACGGCATAACCTCATAACAATAGTTAGCCCGCTCGGTGATGAACGCTGTCTTGTCGTTGTTCGGGGGAAACATGGGGATCTGATTGTATCCTGAATCGCATCCAGGAAACTTAGCACATGGTACCCTGAAGCCCCGTCCACTAACGCATCAATACTTGGTAGTGGGTAAGAATCTTTGGGGCAGTCTTTATTTAGATCCGTGAAGTCCGTACACATTCTCCACTGCCCGTTCATCTTCTTCACCATCACAATGTTTGCCAGCCAAGTTGTGTACTTGATTTCATGGATGAAATCTGCTTCCAACAACTTCTTTACCTCGACTACTACTGCCGACCGCTTCTCCTCCCCCAATCTTCTCTTCTTTTGAGCCACCGGTCGGGCTTCTTTGAGCAATGCCAGCTTGTGCGACATAACCTTTGGGTGGATTCCTGGCATATCAGCTGCAGTCCACGCAAATAAGTCTTGGTTTTTCTTCAACTCAGCGCTTATTAACACGGCCTGATCCTCCTCCAACTCACTTCCGATGGAAGTAACCTGCTCCTCCTTCCGCCCAAGGCTGAAGGGCTTTGTCTCTCCCATCGGTTCTATCCGATCATCAGTATTAGTCCGTGGGTCTAGATCTGCCATGGCTACCTCCGATCGTCTCCTCCTATGTTGGCTGGGCGGATCCGACGACGATGGTTGAACCTTCAATCCTACCATGTAACATTCTAGCGCTATCCTCTGATCGGACCTAACGGTACAAATAGTTCCATTGCCCAACGGAAACTTGAGCGTGAGATGGGGTGTGGAAACAATTGCCCCGAATGCGTTCAGACATGGTCGTCCTAACAGCACATTATAAGAGGTATTCGCGTCCACCAGCAAAAACCTCGTTTTCACCTCCTTACTCCGCTCAGTTCCCAAGCATGTTCTAAGGTCCATATTCCTCTTGTATCTACTCTTTCCCCCGAAAATCCCACTATCTATTCATTGTACGGGGCGATTAGATCTTCGGATATGTCCATCTGCTGGAGCGTTTTCCAATACAGGATGTTAACAGAGCTGCCCAGGTCCACCAACACTTTTCCCATGCTATGCCGGGCAATGACCGCCGATATTACCATCGGGTTGTCCTCATCTGGATCGGGAGCGTGGAAATCCTCATCCGTAAACGTGATTGGCGGCATGGAGCGCTTTCTCACATCTACCCTGTGGACGCTTTTAAGCTCCCTCAGGTTTCTCTTCCTTGCGGACGCGACGACCCTCCCGCAAATCCGCCCAAAATGGTGTTTATTGTTCCCCGCAGCGATCGGTCATGGCTGCGGCTTCTACTCCGCCTGCGGTCGGGACGCCTGTCCTCTCTCCTGTCACTTCGCTCGATCCTAGTCCTCCTGGGTGGACTTCTCGTCTTTCGTTCCTCCTTAACAAACTTCCTAAGATGACCCGCTCGGATCAGTTCTTCCACCTTATCCTTCAACACCGTGCAGTCCTCGGTGTTATGCCCTATGTTTAGATGATAGGTGCAATGTTTGGTTCCATCTGCCTTAGGTGATGACCGGGAGGGTCTTACCTTTATCAAAACTGCATTCAGGGCTTCTTCCAATACTCTAGCCCTTGGCGTGTTCAACGGGGTGTACCTTTCGTACCGAGCCCCCTTCGGGCCATCTCTATACCTCGGGCCCTTCGACCGCTCGCCCGGTACGAACGGTTTCTTGCCCTCCTTTTTCTCCTGCCCTGAACTCGCGTTTTGCTCTTGCTATCGCCTCTGGACCGCCCTCATTTCTTCTATTCTGATGAACCGAGCGGCCCTCTCTTGCAATTCGTCCAGGGTTAACGCGGGTTCTGCAAACAAGTTATCGGTAAATGGGGAAGGCCTTAGCGCAGTAGCCAGAGTACTGATAGTAAACTTCTTGCCTACTCCCCTTACTTACCGTGCGGTTCTATTGAACCTATCCATGAAGTCCTTGAGACTCTCTCCCTTCTCCTGCTTTATGTTGGTTAACTCCATATATGTTAGATTTCGCGCTCTACCAGCCGAAAACTGCCGCTCGAACATATCTCTTAAAGTGGCAAAGTTATTGATGGTTCGAGGCCTCAACGAGTGGAACCATGCTAACGCTTCTCCCTTTATTGACAACAAAAAAACTCTACACCACACATTTTCCCTGGGCAAGTAAATAGTCATGGCGTCAACAAAGGATCTCAAATGTTCCTCTGGGTCCCCTGACCCATCATACTTCTCCAGGACCGGAAATGCTCTCTCCGGAATCTGCTCTTCCATGATTGCAGCCGTGAACGGATGCAACGCTCTAGCCCGACCGGCCAGGGCCGGACGGTTTGCGGTCCGCTGCGAGCCAGGCTCACACTGCTCCTCTCCGTGATAATAATTATCAGGAATGAGATCTGTGTCCTCTTCTGAGTCTGGCTTGGTTTCTGACATCTCTACAATTGGTGGTGATTGGGCGCGTGCGGAAGATGGATGATTAGCTTGCGCCCCTCTGGCCGCATCACGCTCGGCCCTAAGGGTTTCAATTTCCGCCTGCATTGCCTCCATTCTCCTTCTCATCTCCTGTAAAAACGCTGTCAGGTCTTGCTCCATCCTTACGGTCGTAAAGGTTGTCTTCAATAATCCTCGGCCCCACGGTGGGCGCCAAAATGTTTCTGCTGAATGGGACCGGGGAAAACTCCTGCTGCCTCCGCCCGGAAACACTCCTCCTAGCCCGATCGGTCCTTCTCCCTTCGCTTTCCTCGTGCTTGTTCGTAACACAAATGGGTTGACCTGCAACAAACACTCCGACGCTCAAGTCAGAATGGGTTTTTGCAAGTCTATATAATTATCAAAGAACAGAGAGTTTACCTTCTCCTTTGACTGCTATTTATACGATTTCAGAGAATATTACCCATTAATTTACCTTTTAATGGCTTTCAATGCGTATCTTAAATACTCGACAATGACCGTTACCTCATTAACTACACATTCATGAGCCTTCAACTGCTGTCTCCAGTCCACAGTTTTAGATATCTGCTCGACCGGACATATTGCAACTGAAGGATCCGATCGGACATATCAAGCTGAGACACCCGATCGGACATATTAGCCTTGCTTCTACCCGCTCGGCTTTGTCTAAACCTTCCTGGTCGGTTGCCCGCCCTCGGTAGTAACAGAAGTGTATATAAAAAGAGGTGGTATAGAATATAAGAGAAGGAGAATTAGTATTTTAAATATTTTTAGTTGATTGATAAAATCATTTTGTAGCATTTATTTCGTGGACATGCTTTGCTATCCAAATTGCATGTCTTCGAGGGCAAATGACTCGTTCATTGCCTTCCCAAATAGAATTCACTATGTGTTTATCTTGTAGACGTAGAAGGGACATATCAATGGGAAGTTGACGGGCAGAAGCCATATTAAATTTTGTGGGTGAAAGTGGGTTATTAAAGCAATGAGAAAGGAGAAGTACTTTGGGTATTGGAACTCACAATTGAAATGGGTAGAGAAGTGGGATATGAAAGCAAAGACAATGGTTAAAGGGTTTGGCTATTGGAAGTCAGAACACGGTGGGAGAAATGAAATGCACCCTCCACCAATTTAAGTTCAAGCATTGATGCCCAAGAATCTTCAAAGTCAGATGAATGAGGACATGGAAATGACAATTCATATAAGTTGTAATGAGTGCTCTTCAAAGAATCTTCAAACCTGCAAAAAAAAAGAGAGGCATGTGATTGAATAGTAGTAACTTTGAAGGTAAAATCTGCACTAAATGTAGGCATGCAAATGAATAGGAACATGAATAGGAAAGTTGAATAGCAAAGTTCAAGACCAAAGTTGAATAGCATTATTGGTGGTCAGAGGCAAATGTGGACAATGCATGTGTACAATCTCTTGTCACGTACCACATAATATTGATGCATCCATAAATACCCTTTAAAAATTTCTAATGAATATTATTAAATGTATGTAATCAATTTTTATGAATTGTAAAAATATTATCCAATATTTAAGCATTTTATTAGAGTTTACAACAAAA